GGAGGAATCTGTTGCACTTTTTTCCATGACCATAGACAAACTGCAGAAAATCTATAGGTGTATGGGCAGCTTTAGTTTTGAAGAAAACATGGTCTTGACCTATAATTCTAGACAGAAAGCACACAGCAGAACATTTAACCAGCGGGTTCCCCGCTCAATTACCTGTCTTTGGGAGCTATAGGCCTTCCCAGAAGGGGCATTTGGAAATGTATAAAAAGTCATTAGCAACTTAAATTATATTTGATTCATAATGAATCTTAGGTTTTAAATGAAAAAAATCCCAATAGTATACTGCAAATAATATTCGTTTAATCGAAAGCCTACCTTTAATGAAAAAAAAAAAATACTCGGCTGGAATTTCCTTGCAGCCGTATCTCCTTTTTTATTTTTATAGAAAAGAAATATATTTATGTACATTTTTCTTCTGCCCAGTCTCCAATGGCTTTTGTCACAGCACAGATGTTCATCATATTTTTGTAGTTGTCTTCCACATTACTGGATTTTTAAATAGGATTTTTAAATGCTTTAAATATGACTGGCCAGACAAATACCAAGCCATGTTTCTATCTGCTATACTTACATCACTCTTATATTTGATGAAAATCACTAAAATTCAGAACAACCAAGTCAAATTGTAACTTTCTCAAAATACCTTTCCTGAAATTGTCAAAGGCCTCCTTCACACTATCCCTGTCCTTTGTAGTGCATTACTGCAACATGTTGACATGCAATATTTGCACATTAAAATGTGCTGCATTAGAGTCACTCATTCATTTAGAATGGGTTCACAATGTTTGGCAGTGGAAGGAAAAACTGACCTGCACCTTTTTTTTTGTGCTGGCGCCACAACTACATTGCAGCGCACCACAACGCACAGCAAGTATGCTGTGGTGCGCTACACAGCGGTCTCTCAGCATCTACTATACTTGTGCATTCTATTGACATGGCAACGCATTGAGTGCCGTGCATTATTGGAAAGCACACATGTGAAACGAGCCTTAAAGTTAAACTCCAGCAAAAACATTTTATTTTGTAGTTTTGGGCAGAGGCAAACAATCTCTGTCAGGTTCATATAGTTGCCTGTGGCTCCACTGGGCAGATTTATTTTCACTTTTTATTCTAGCACAGAAAGTGAGGGAAAATTTCAAGTTTTGTATCTATCACCAAAACATGCAGGAGACATTTCTCAATGTTTCAGAAGTACCTGTTAAATGTGAGATTTCTGATCACTTTGGGAGATTTCTGATCACTTCATTTTGCTGTCTCCATGTGACAAAAACAAATCTTTTTTTGAGCAGGAAGTGTGCTGGTAAAACTTGTTTTTGTTGATCAGCCATTGTTTTGTCATTTTAGCACCCATTTAGCATTGGTCTACTGCCATATGGAGTATGCCTAAATTCACTTTGAGGGTGATTCACAAAGCTAGCCGAAGGATCAGCCATAGATCTGGCTGATCCTTCAGCTAGTTTCAGCCACCAGAGCCCTTTGGTTCAGTCAAACCGAAGGGCTGCTGTACAGGCTATTCACTACAGCCCCTACAGCTCCGGAAGGCGGCCAGGCGGCTCAGCCGGGCCGAAGGCATATGCTTCGGCTCAACTGCCCGAAGTGGGCCGAACAGCTGGCCGAAAGCCTCGCAACTGGCAGCTGTGTGGAGCCAGCCGTGATCTCACGGCTGGCTCTGCCCAGTTGCAATGACAGATCAGCGTCCCCAGGTTATTCATTGACGCTAGCTCCGCCCAGTTGTTATTCATTGACTCTAGCAGATCCCGGTCATTAGGAAACAGTTGGGTGGAGCTAGCTGTCACTGCCAGCTCTGCCTAATTGTTTTATTTATTTTTTTATAAATTGTTATTGTATCATTTATTTACATTTTTAAACATTTTTTCTACTTTTTTCCCCCAACTTTTTACCTATTTTCTGATTCTGTTCGGTACCACGGAGGTACCGAGCAGAATAGCTGAGCCGAATGCCACTATTCACTCACTGTCGTTCGGCCCCTATGAGAATAGGCCGAACAGCAGCGAATGGCCTGCTGGGGGTTTGGCTCAACCGATCGGCTGAGTCGAACATGTTCTTCACTTCGACTCAGTCGAACATGCTGGGCATGTTCGGCTGAACTGAAGCAAGCTGATGTACGGCTAATTTCAGCCGATGTTTGGCTGACATTAGCCGTACTGAGCAGAAGTGAATAGGTGAACAGCGTTTGGCTCTGTTCACTTTGGCTCGGTTATTTACTTGGCTGCCTTTGGCAGCTTTGTGAATAACACTCTTTGTGTTGGAATCTCCCCACTGGAGGCACAGGCAGCAATACAGTTCAAAAAGGAGTTCTTCTTTTCCACTCTCTCTCTAACACTAAAAAAAAGGTGTTGCTGTGCATGGCAACCAATCAGCTTCTCTCTTCAGTTTGTTCAGTTAAGATTTGAACATGAAAGAGTGAAGGTGATTGGTTGTCATGGGCAACTGCTCCAGATTTTATCTGCTCCAGTTTTGATAAATGTCCTTCAATGAGTGTAATTGAACATCACAGTGCAAAGAGCAATAAACTGCAACCAATCACATATCAGATCTGTCTAGTCTGATTCAAGTGAACTGCTGAAAGCTGGTAACTGATTGGTTACTTGGGGCTGCCATATATTGTTGCTCTTAACTTTCTTTTAAATTCCTAACATATAGGCTGAATGATGTGGAGACAGCATAATTTGCTCCATAAATAAAATGTACTAAACCCTAAACAATAATGACAGCATTTTCCACAAACATTTGCAATGCCTTAGAGTCCAAAAGGTTCAGCAGACAATTGAACCTGTGTTTATTTGAAACATGCACTTCTGGCTTTTACCTGTCAATAAATAAAAGGCTGTTTGATTCAAACTTAGGCACCCTGGTCTGCAAACACTTTTTCTCAGACATGTACAAGCCCTTATAACATAGACCATGTTTACAAATCCCAACTTTGGTTAGGCTTTATTTATTGAATTTTTTTCACATTTTCTACATATTTTAACTCTCCAACTTATTATATATGACATTTCCTCTGTTTACCTGATTTACCAAACATGAGAGCTACTTCTATGACTGTACTCTAAAATATAACCTGAATGACTTGCTGTGTTTTAGAAATACTTGACATCTCATTGCATTTCCTGCATGTAATGTGGAATGGCATGTCATCACTGTGTTTATGGAGCGTGTTTGCATGTACCAAGTATCCTCCTGTGTGTGCATGCTCAAAGCTGAAATTGTGTTACAGTAATCCATTTTAGCCAATCAAATCTTGAGTTTAATTGCTGGGATCTTAACCCATATGTTGCCAAATAGCTGACGATGGATTAAGCTCTGAATCTGATAAGGCAGCAGTACTGTTTATAGCAAGGTTTTAGATTAAAACAAAAACACAGTTTAGTCCAAATTGGCTTTACCATTTTTTTAGTTCTCTTGGGGTTTTGCTTTGTTTAAATTTGTATACAGTTAATAATACAGATTAAAACTGTGTTATTGTATAGATTCCTTTCAACTTTAACATGGGAAAGAAAGTCACTTCAAACATCAACTGTTTAGGTAAAGAATATGCTCTTGCCAAATCCAGGTCATCATTTCATTTTCCAGGAAAAAAACATGCCAGGAATGTCATACGTGGTGGACTGCTGTCAAGTATTACGTTCAAGTGTCTAGAAGTGCTGCACGTTCCTGCAGCAGCTTCAGATCCTTGCATTTATGTTTGGAAATTCTGATACGGCAAACCCCAACACTTCTTGGCCAATAGGAATAAGGGGACAGGAAATCTTCAACACTACTAGGAATTGTTGGATCTTTAGCCAGGAGAACGGCCAGGCATTCTGGGGTAGTGGTAGGGCTTTGAGGCTGCTTCAGATGTCCAAGCACCTCTAGGTTCCTGCACGTTATACTCAACATGAGTTTTTGCTTTCTTTGCTATGGCAAAGTTGTTTTATGGCAAAGATTGTTATTCAAACATTTTCAAACCAAGACGATTTAAGGCAATTGAATACCAGGAATTGTTTGTTTTTTTTTGGCTCGTACAGTAATATATGATACCCTTAGAGCACCTTAGAGTGTTTTCTGATTTGCCTTGCAAGTGACTTCTCATCTGAGCACAAGTTTACTTGGTAATCTCTTCATTACTGCTTCAGTTTTTGGTGTGACCTATTTGATGGGATTACAAAGGTATCTAAATGGAGCCTATTAGTCTTATATTTTGTGCATTTATAGACACACACAGCCCGTTTTTGCAGGAACATTATAACTAGAACTAGTTTTAGTAGACAACCATTCTACATTTGCACAGCTCTGTAAGCACCTCATCCAGCAAATCAAAACATGTAGTATACATATAAATTATGATATTCAAGGTGCAGTTACCCATATCTGTTTACTGTTGTTAGAGCAGTGAACATGAACTCTGGTTGGTTGCACCATTCTTACATATACTGGGATCAGCACAACACAGACTGATCTCTGCATTCTTTCCATGGTATGCTGACCTTAGTGTAACTGTTAAATAAAGAAGGTCATTAGTATAATGTTATATATGGCTTTTCTGATGGAATGCTGAGTTTAGCCATTTCTTCTGTTTGTAGGGTTTGATAATAGGTTAATTACTTCTAAGTACTGCTGCTTTACTTTTAAACAACCACACAATACCCTGTTTGGTGTGATATTTACTAATTATTGTGCAAATAATGTTTTTTCCAGTAGTTTGCAATCAAAGGTGGGCATCCTAGGTCTCTCTACCTGTTACAAAATTACAAGTGCCAGCATGCACTGCCAGCTGTCATTTATCAATGAAGCCTTGCAGTTTTTTCCATTGGAAGCTTGTAGTTGATGTTCAGCCAGAGAGCACCAGGTTGCAGAAACTCAGTCATTCACATGAATGCATGCATTGCACGCTCAGTCTACTGTGGCATAACTCGACACATACAATAACCATAAAAATGTTTTATTGCTTTCTGTGTTTGTTGTGTTTTTATATCTGTTCTCTCCAGGCTTCGTGGACACGGCCCCACAAAAAAGAGGTATACAACTAATTAGATGTGAAATGCTGTACTCGGAGAAAGAGATACCTAACCCTTAGAGCTATTCCAGAACCACATTGCTTAACTAAACCCATGTTGATAGCTACAAGAAGATAGATATAGAATATCCGTAGTTGTATTCTGAAACATATAAACAAGCTTGGTTGGTATAACAAGTTAAGAAAATACAGATACATCAGCATTACTTTAGGTGTAGGTTTTCATTTAAAAAAATCAATCCATAAATTAAAATTAGATTTTTTCCCTTTATTTTACTACAAGAATATCTCCTATCCAGGTAAAATGGAAATTTAAAAAGTTATCTAATACAGTCACTATAATAATGTCAGTATCCTCCTCTGCAATCTGGTTTTGTCTATCCTAGTCTGCATACTAGTCTCGGGGCAGTGAAGCAGTTCAGATTTAGCATGAGTCATATCTCTGCCCTCAGAACTAGGATACTGTGTTGCTTGCAGTTCTCCTTATATACCCTGTTTCCCTGAAAATAAGACCTACCCCGAAAATAAGACCTGGTACTGTTTTTGGGAATTGCTAAAATATAAGACCTACCCCAAAAATAAGACCTAGTTGTGACCATTTCCAGGGCCGATGGTGGCATAAGGGGGAACTTGAAGAGCCACGGGAGAGGCAGGAGAGAATCAGTGGTGCCAACAAAGCCAGCGCTAGAGGAAGCAAGGCGGCACCGGAGGGAGCAGAGCCACATAAGCCAATTCTTCCTCTATAGCGCCGGCTCCTGTCACAGGCGGAGTGATACCAAATGCACTCTGCCTGTGAGGAATCAATAGTGAAAGCGCACTTCGCTCATTCTGGCCAGTGATTGGTTACTAAATTGCTCTTGGAAAGGTACAACACCCCTGATTGCCCAGATCACCCTATTCTTAACTTTGCCATTTTGGATTATTTTATTTGGATTTGCATTAACTTCGGATTGTTTTTAGAATGAAAAAAAAAATAAGACCTACCCCGAAAATAAGACCTAGTGTGTTTTTTTGAGCCAAAAAAAAATATAAGACAGTGTCTTATTTTCGGGGAAACACGGTAGCTGTCATCTCTCACCAGCCCTGAACTAACATGGCAGAATCCCTATAAATTAATATTTACCTTCTTGCTCTAGGTTATTGCATTGTTTGTAAGGAATGGGTGATACCTGGAAGTGTTAGATTTGCTTACAGCATACACTGTATTTGCCCAGAATTGTATAGTCTCTTTGGTATTACTAATGTATAATGATGTTGGGGTTTAGGAATAGCTTATACATGTTACACAGTATACTGTATGTAATTATTGCTACAGCCATGGTGATACATTTCAATTTTGTTCTGCCATCTCAGCAAACAATCAAAGGGGGCCTTAGATGTACTGCTTAGAGGTAACTCATTTTGCTAACTTGAAAGAGATTCTGTCATTAGCTTAAAATATTCAGGTGAAGTACAAAAAAAAAACAGGTTTTTTTTTAATTCTTACTTGCATTATTTTTTGTTTCCATTAATTATTTTGTATTCACTTGCAATATACCTTTGAACTTGCTAGAAAATTTGACTAGTCGATGCCCTAGCAAAGACCCCTCTCTCCTCTCTATAGACCTCTCTTATACTTGGAGTGTCTAAATATTTTCTGTGGTTGCCAAGGTCCCCTGCCTCTCCCCTTACGTTTCTATATAACTTTTTATGTAGCTGCTTAGGGATACTATGAGATTATGAGAATATGCTCGTTTAAATAAATAGTGTGTTGATAGGGTCTTTAAGAGTAGCATCACCCAGAATGAGGTCTTCCACTTTGCAGTGGAGCCCTGATTTAAACCCTAGATCTACCTTCATGCATAGCACAGTTGTTAGAGGCTGAGAAACGTTTTAAAGAAGAGCTATTGTCAGTTGCCTTTATATTTTGATGAAGACTCCTGAAGAGATCCTCCACACTTTGTCGGAAGTATATAGTTGCTTAAAAGTACGTTCCAGTCAAAATTGAAGATTAAACCCTAAGATTCCTAGCTCAGCAGTTCTGTTTTTCCTTCTGGCAATGTTGTTGTGGACCAGTCTCTTCCACTCCCTCTTCTCTGTTGATCATGGGACACACATGCTGGTCATACTGAAAGTTTTCTTGTTATCTCTCATATACACTCTCATAATACACTGATTATTATGACCACCTGACGTTTGTAGGCAAATTGGCTATAATTAGCTATAATTTCATGCTGAAGTTGCTAGAGGACCAGACCATTATAAATAGGGAATCAGGTTGTTTACCACGACAGTAGAATTGATTTATTTCTGAAGATATGGGTAAACAACGCAATTTAACAGCCTTTGAACGTGGGATGATTATTGGCGCGAGCCATGGAGCGAGTATCAGCAGAATTTGTTAAATGTTCAAGAGCAGCTGCTGTTAAAGTGTTTAAAGACTGGACTGTCAGCCGAAAATCTGGGTCTGAACGTGCGAATTGTGGTCGTCAGCGACTAGTCAATGTTAGGGCAGAACGGAGAGTATCAAGACTGGTACAAGACAACAGAAGGGCAACAGTGCAGTGTCAGATTCCTCGCATCACCTTTCAACATCTCGTGGAGTCAAGAGGCGGCCCAACGAAGTAATCTCGTGGAGTCATCTCATGGCCCAACAAAGTACTGATGGGCTGCTCATAATAATCTGGGCACTCAGTGTACAGTAAGCCTGTTGTTTAAAAAGCCAATTTTGTCGCAGTCACTAATCAGATGCAAACCTGCCATGGAAGTTTAAATGTGAATGGTGATGCAGGAAGAAAAATTAGAAAAAGTTTCATTGCAAAGGCATCAGGAATTGCACTTTTACTACACAGGTATAAAGGCGCAGGAATTGTACAGTATTCGGATTATAGCGTGTTCTGGTTTCAAATTATTCTTTTACAATTTCTCAAGGACATAGGTACACCACTATTATCAACTAATAGTACACAGCATTCAGTACAAACATAGGTTTTATGCCTAAACAGGTATATTATATCTGTCTATGTATCCTGAAAGCACTAACAACATAAAACATTCTTTGTAGCATTTAAGGTCTCTCAACTGAGAAGACTGGGTAGTGCTGAGTAAAGTCTTTTTTTTAAGTGTTCTGCACTCTCTATATTACTCAACTCAATTAACTCATTTTATAATTACTTAGAACTGGCTTTATATATTTGAAAGCAGTCAGTAATCTTTCTAGTACTTATCTTATGTATCTTTATATAGCATAGGACATTGATTTTTAAACAAAGGCTGGCATCAGACGCACATGGCACCTATGTTATCTCAATAGGACAAATAATTATTTGTTGGAAAATCTAACCCATTATGTCAGCTGATTAAAACTGGTTTAAAGGCGGTTTAAACAGAGGTCTGTAAGTTCTCATATATAATCAACTTGTCTAATAGCTATGTTTTTTGAGTACCTATACAATGGGATTTAGCCTTGTAATTAGTTTCTAATTAAGATTCATTCAGTTCAGCTTTTATTGAATGGAGCGCACTGTAACTCAAATTCATCCTGTTCATGAATTGCATTGATGTTGAAGCTTAGTGAATAGCTTATAATTTCTAACAGACTATATACTGTGATCACGTCTGAGAAGTCAATTATTTGTTGATAGTTTGTTTTCAGTTAAGGGGAATACATCAATATTTAGCTTTTTTATCATTATTCTTACTTCTTGAAATACCTAATATTTACATTCACAATATTTTTTTGTTGTCATGAAGTCTAAGGTAGTGAATTACCACGTTTCTATGCTGGTGGTGGTTTGGCTTAGTAACTGGATCAGGCTGCAAAAGATTCTCTAACCTTTTCTAATTAGGGGTATTTTTGGCTAGAGTGAGCTAGTTGAAGTCATCACAAAATAGGTATGCAAATAAATATATGAGCTTGGTAATGATGATATGAGATATTTGATGATATTTTGAGAAGCATTTGACAGAAATGTTATACACTCATGAATGTCTTTTTCGGTGGTTGGTCTTCTTGATTTTCGATAAATACTCTGCAGGTTTTTTTAATCAGTTATTTAATGTCGCATTAATATTAGGCTAATACATTTAATTATTGCTGGGGGTTTAAATACAAATAGCATTTCATACCAGCATAAACAAATGAAAATATAGTTTGCAGTGTCAATGCCAACACAACATCATTGCAGAATTGGGTCATCTGACCTACATCTGGTGAACACCTAAAGTTACAGCAGTATTTATTTAAATGCATAAAAGAGCTACTCCACCTAAAACATATTTTGCGGTAGGTCTTCACTGTTATCACAAACTTACAAGAAAAAGGGCTATTGCCTAGCTCTAACTTACTAAGACTGGCCACAGCTCTTTGTTTCAACACTGGGAGAAGATTTGACATCAAAGGGTTGGTGCACAGCCTTTAAAAATAAATAAATAAACTGACATTTTGTTGAAATGATAGCTTCAATTGATATTGTTATTTATTATGTATTATATTACCTTAGCTGTTATTAAATGGAAATTGTACACAGAGAAGTTACTGAACTGTGGGCCCTACTTTTTCTCTGTGCTTGTGTCATAAGGCCGACAATTAACAGGAAGAGTAGCTTAGTTAGCAATTTATTTAATGTAATTTGAAATTCTCCAGTGAAGGCTTTAACCTTCATTCACATGTCTGCACTGTAAACCACAAGTAAAGACCTGTAGTTGCCACAGCTCAGTTCATTGAGAATCTGTCAGTTTGCTTCTTCAGGACAGAATGACAGGTGATCTTGGAAGTCTTCCCCTCACCCAGTCATATTCACCTTGACCACGCTCCCCCACTGCTTTGTTTGACCTTAGGAGTGCTTGGAAATACCCAGTGTTGCTGGGTATGAGAGTACATTCACCCTCCTCTTCTTTCTCCCACAATGCAGAAGAGTGATCATTGGCTCCTTAGGCCTGAACACTGTTATTTTGGGGAAAGGAGCAGGCCAGCTGAGCAATTGCCCTGAGCAAATGGGAAATATCCAAACTGTTATAGTT